TGAGAACATGCAGAAAATTAAAAAAAAAAAAAAAAAAAAAAAAAAAAAACAGTGGAAATAATTTACCAGTGGGAAAGAAAAACACTAAAGAAAGGAAGTGTAATTGAGTTAGAACATAACTGCAATAAATAGCGTTGAATAATTAGAAGTGCAATCGTTAATAATTAGATAAATGCACTGTAATTATTCACTGTTGGATAATTAACCGAAATAGTCATAAATCACTATTTACTGCTAATTGTGAATGTGATTCAAATTGTATGCGGTTTCATAAATATATATTAGGACTATAAAGGATTATTATATTTAGGATATATAGTTTTGTTATTGTATATATATAAATGAAACAACTAGGGTATTGTGTAATTAAACTTTTGCACTTTAATGAAAATTCTTTTTTTTTTCGCTCTACATTCAGTATACGGTACCGAAGCTATATAATATGTACGACAGTATCTTTTTTATTTACAAATATCACCATCTTGCAAAGAGACATCGGTAATACTTTTATGGATTATAGTACACTTGTTCATCTTCTTTTTTTTCTTCTTTTTTTTCTACTTCTTTTTTGTCTCTCGCTTTTACACTTTTGAAATTTCTATTCGCTATTTTGCAATACTTACACATGCATACATTCGACTTTTCAACATTAAAAACAACAAATTGTGTGCACACACACCTAATATTAATTATTTACAATTTTTCTAAATTAAAAACTAGTTTTTCTTTTTAAATTCAAAACCAAGATTTTGTAACATTTTCCTTTTGTTTTGTACAATTAACAGTTTTTCTAATGATATCTATGACGTTGCTTAGCAACAATTTTGATACTTTTGTCTCGCATTTAGACATCCTTGGAAAAACTGTGAAGATATGTATTAAATTAAAAATACGGAGTAAAAAATTTCTCTAAAATTCTAAACAATTTTTGTTTCTAATTGTTTAGATGTTAAAAATTTAAAATCGTAAGAAAATGAAATCTTGTTTTTGATGAATTGTTTTGTACACAATGAAATTAGATTAAGTTACTTTGGAACAGTAACTCATGAACGAAAAATAATAAATAGATTTCTAAGTTTTATACATGGATAGTAAATACATATTTTTTTAAAAGAATTGTTTTTAAAAAATGTACGCAAGAATGTTTTCTTAAAGATCTAAGAGGTCCGCAATAATTAAACAAAAATGGGACTTGTGTTTTTCTTTGGCTCCGCGAAGGCTGACTCAACAAAATTGTTATAATAATTTATAAATATCTATATACTGTTTACTATTTATTTTCTGTTAATGGTAACATTTAAACATTGTTTTTTTCGATGAAAAGAAAATGGGTACGGAACTATACTTTATGCGATCTTTATGTGTGTGTATATACTTAATGATATAATTCTTAAATCATGTCGAAGATTTGTGATGATAAAAAGTTTTGAGCAAATTTGAAAAACTTATAATAAATTATATAACTTTTGTGAAAGTAATTAAGATATTATCACAGAGCGATAAGAATATTGGAATTCTGCATATTAGAAGGAAGACATGGTTCGTTTTTCTTAAATATTATAACTATTTAGTTTCGGTGTAGTATTGAGATTGAGACAAGAAATTATAATCATCAGGAAATTACAAAATTCGAAATTAATAAACTGACCTTCGATGGATATACATTTATTTATAATAATAATAATAATATTCTAGATTGTATATGTACAAAATATTTTAGTCTAAACAGTTCTTTTATTAGGAAAGTTAACAAAATTTTTTAATACCCAAATTTTTAGGTATACAAAAGAGGGAGAAGAATATAATTTCAAGTTATTTTTTAATAACAACAAACTGAAATTTTCGTCACACTGGGATTAATATGGTAATTTTTAGGAATATGGAGTTAACTTTCCAGAATTAGTTTATATTTTTTGCTAAGTTTATTTCGATGACCTTTTTTTTTAATTTCGGGTCATTGTTGGTATTTTTACATTCTCATCATATGAGAAAGTATATTATTTTATTCAGTACGGTTTGAATTTGTTAAAAAATTTTATTAAAAAAATTTTTTTTTTTTTAAATTAAAAAAATTCTTTTGTTGAAATTTCACCTGTGAGTTAAAATGACTGATTTGAGTTTAGAATTCAGGGATTGCAATTTGGATTTTTCGCTCGATTCAGATTGACAGATATGCTTTTTTCGACATAAAATTTTTATTAGAATGAATTAGAATTTTTATTTACATTAGAAAAGTTTTTTGAAATTAAATTTGTGACTTATTCTCTTTCTCTACACTGCAAAAAAGTGTCTTAATTTGAAACATTTTTATCCCTTCTTTAATGACGTTTTTAGATGTTTTTTAAAGAAAACGTTGTTGTTCTAAGATTCAAATATTATCGAACAAAGTAAATTAAATTTTTTTTTAAATTTTCTTTTGTAGATTATTGATTTAATTATTCTTTTTCCAAAAAGTTTTAAAACATTCTAAAAAATTCAATTATTTAAAAAAAATTTGAATAAAATTCTTCACAAGAAATTAATTATTTTCATGAATAACAAAACTTATTGCAGAATTTCAATTATTTTTTTATACAAATTTAAATAAGATGATTGAAAATTGCATTTATTCTTAGAATTTTTTTTTTAATTTCCCTGAAAGAATTTAATTATTTTTGAAAATTTTGATAAAATTCTTTATATAAGAATTTAATTATTTCATAAATTATTTATTTTTGTATTTAAATAATTGAATTCTCGAAAAATTTTCTAGTAAAACTTGATTGAAAAATGAATTTCACTTGAAGTTTTAAATTATAATTGTTTATAAACATTATTTTAAAAATAGAAAATTTAGTTATTTTTTTCCGATAAAGAAAAAATCTATTTTTATTTTAGTTTCGCTCTTTTTCTACTATTATTCGAAAATGTTTCATTAAAAAAAATTAAAAGGGGCCTAGAAGTAATTTTATTAACCTTTAGCGGGCCAGTAAATTTGCACAAAGTTTAGTAATTTTTTATTTAAAAAAGTTTATAAATAATTCAATGATATTCAATATCTACTATTTTAATAAAATTTTCCAAAAGAAATGAATTATTTTAAAATTTTTTTATAAATTTCTTCGCAATAGTTCTATTATTTTCAAAAATATTCAATTTATGTTTACAGAGATTCAATTATTATTTTCATAAATAATAAAACTCATTGCAGAATTTCAATTATTTTTGATACAATTTTAATCGAATTCTTGGAAAAATGTAATTATTCTTAAAATTTTATTAAAATTCGTCAAAAGAATTCAATTATTTTTATAAATATTAAAATTTTTCTCTAAAATTCAATTCTTTTCAAAAATTTTAATAAAATTTTCCTCTAAAATTCAATTATTTTCAAAAATTTTAATATAATTCTTGGCAATATTTCAATTATTTAAAAAAATGTTAATAAAATTCTTGACAAAATTTCAATTATTTTCAAAAACTTTTCTCAATTCAATCAAATTTTTTACAGAGATTCAATTATCTATTTAAAAATTTGTTGATAAAATTCTATAAATGAGAGTTCAATTTTAAAAAACATTCAATTCTTCAATAAATTATTTTTTTTGTATTAAAATAATTGAATTTTTTTAGAATTTTCTAATAAAAGTTGATTCAAATATGAAAATTTCAATTATTTTTATAAATATTAACATTTTTCTCTAAAATTCAATTATTTAAAAAAAAATTTAATAAAATTATTCACAAAATTTCAATTATTTTCCCAAATAATACGTTATTTATTATGGGAATTCAATTATTTAAAAAAATTTGAATACAATTCATCGCAAGAATTCAATTATTTTTATAGATAATAAATTTTTTCTGGAGAATTCAATTATTTAGAAAAATTTTGATTAAATTTTTTATAAATTTGACAAATTATAAAATTGATCATAGAATACAATTATTTTCGTAAAATATAACTTTCTTCCTAGGAATACAATAATTATTGTCAAAAATGTTTGTAAAAATCTCCGAAACAATTCAATTATTATTAAAGAAATTTTAATAAAATTCTTTCCAAGAATTCAATTCTATTCAAAAATAATAATTTTCACAGTAATTCAATTATTTACAAATTTTTTATAAATTTCTTCCCAATAATTCAATTATTTTCATAAATAATAATATTTCCACAAGGATTCATTTATTTTCATACATATAATAAAATTCTTGTTAGGAACCCAATTATTTTCATAAATAATAAAACTCATTGCAGAATTCCAATTATTTTTAATAAAATTTTAATCGAATTCTTCGAAAAATGAAATTATTCTTATAAATTTTATTGAAATTCGTCAAAAGAATTTTAATTACCTATTTAAAAATTTGTTGATAAAATTCTTTAAATTAGAGTTGAATTTTAAAAAACATTCAATTTTTTAATAAATTATTTTTTTTGTATTTAAACAACTGAATTGTCGTCGAATTTTCTAATAATAATTGATTCAAATATGAATTTCAGTTAAAACTTTAGATAATAATTGAGTTTTGAAAAGGTTTCAAATTATAATCTTTGAATGTTTGAATTTTTCATACTTTTAACTTAAATTGTGTAGATTTAATTTTTTTGTAAAAGTTGAATTGAATTTTTTTGAAGTTATTTCAAGTTTTTATTTTCTAATATATATCCGATTGAAGAATTTCCGATTACCTGAATAATCGACGATGAAATTTCGTAAAATTGAATTGTAAACAAAAGGATATGAAAATGTTGAACGAAATTTTTCAGATATTATTAGTAATAATTAATTTACACTTTATAAAGAAGAATTTTAGTTAAAAATTCTGGAAAACAATAATTGAATTAAAATAATGAAAATATTGAATAAGTTGCAGTAACAATATTCTTATAATATAAAATGATGATTTTATCAGTCCAACATTTTTAATTACTTTAAAACATGAAGATATGGATTGCTCTGAGTCGAAGACTCGGAGTGATCGATTTCTTTATGTTTTATAACAATTTGTTCTAAGTTGTTTAATTTCAAAAAGGTTAGAAATAACAATTTTGTAAAATATAAATGTAGTTTTAAAAACCTGGAAAAATTCCGTTTTTTAAACTGGAGAATCTGGAAAAGTCAGGGAATTTAAAAAATGAGCAAAAACGTGGCAACCCTTCTTCTTATTTATAAATTTTCGAAAATAAAAAACTACTAAAATCTTGGCAAATTTACCGGCCTTCTGAAGGTTAATTTCGGTTAATTTAGAGAGTTGCATTCAAGACGCATCAGATAAGTAAAGCCGAACCGTAAAGGATCTAAAAATAAAGACAAACCGAAGACATGTAATATCTTCGAAAAATAAATTTAAGAAGACAACTGTTTTTGCAGTGCGCATAGATAGAAGAAAAGTTGAAATTGATGTTGAGTAAAAATTGTGAAATATTCTCCTTGTAAAAAGAAACTGCAAAAGAGTGAAATGTAGATAGCAGCCTCGAAGAAATCGAAGAATGTGAGCACCGGGAAATATAGCGACGACTCTAGACAGTCTCGGCTCGTAGTACTTGTAGTGTTCGTAGTGTTCGGGGGGTGTGGTAGCCGGTGGATCGCTAATTGGGGGTGGACGGGCGTGCGCGCAAAGGCGGCGGTGTGGAGGCGGGTCGCGGATAGGGAGCATACCTGACCCCGGGGCTAGCTGTCGCCGACGAGGGAGACGATCGTCGGGAGATCATCGCTACCGGGGGTTGCCAGGGCCACGGCAGAGCCACCGGGTAGGGGAAGGTCGGACTGGCCGGGTAAGCCGTTGGCGTGCCACCCCTACTGTGATTTTGCGTGACCCCACTGTAGAGGAGGGTGCTTGATGGCGATAGCCAAGGTGGTAACGCATGTTGTGAGCCGTCGTGGTGTTGTTGTTGTTGTTGATGTTGTTGCTGCTGCTGCTGTTGGTGTATACTTTGCGCCGCAGCTGCCGCCGCCGGTGATGATATCGCTAGATGTTCATACAGTCTTACCGATGGAACTCCACATCTCACTAGTTGTTGCTCCATCAACTCCATTGGGTCTCTGTAAAAATACGTAAAAAGAACTTCATTTAGTGACAATTTTAACTATTATTTTTTCTTTACTTCTACCATCCTTATCAACATACTGTTTTATCAATATTAAGCGTCTTTATCGTTTACTGTTTTATCAATAATAAGCGTCTTTATCGTTTACCATCTTTATCATTTACATCATTTACTTTCACCAAAATTTTGGTATCTCTAGACTAGTAAATACTTATATTTACATATAGCATATTTGACAAGACGGAATAAAAAACAATAGAAGAATAAAAAATACTTGTTTCAAAAGTGGTTAAATTTTTTACGCAGACAATTACGTTCAGAGGGAACAATAATGTCATTGTTGAAATAAGCATCAATTGCAGTGGATTAAGGGTGTGATATTTTACGACAAGAGTAGGGAGAGAGAGAGAGAGAGAGAGAGAGAGAGAGAGAGAGAGAGGAAGGGAGGGAGATGTGGAAGCGCAAATGTGTGGTCCGGCACGTCCAAAAGCGACGGCGATTAGCCCTGGACCTCTCTAATCCCCCTTTTTCTCCTGCACAGCCCCCGGTCTCTTTTGGCATGATATATGCATGTGTTGCCATATATACATACAGACCCCAACGTGTGCTGCACACTGATCAACTATGCCAAGTGGCTATCGAGTTACGCGTTAAGCAGTAACCGAGACCAGTACACCGGATCCATTGTTCAACTCTCTCTCTCTCTCTCTCTCTCATCCCATTTTTGCATTCTTACACCTCCACTCGACTTAATTCCGCACCTCTCAACTGTTTCCTGCGCGCACACTCAAAGGTGTCAAAAAATTATAACCGCAATTATTATTGAAATTCAAAAAATTATCATCTCCTCTCATGATATGAAAATCACTGAGTGGTAAAAATTCTTCTTCCCATACAGCACACGAGGAAGTGTTTTATTATTGTCGGGATATAATAAAGTTGATTATATAATGTTTCGTATATATTGGCTTGAGGAGAGAAAGTTTTAGGTGAATATGACATCTCTTGCATACGCTCAGGAGCACGAAGACTTTATAGAACCATTAATTATAATATCATGGACTTTACGCGATGACTTAATTACCCGTTTATTGGCGTCTCTTGATGATCAACTGCCATAGTGTTTCAGCACACAATCGATCGCAATTAACCCTAATTAAGCAGAATCATTGCATATGGACGTCAATTATGTTTTCCGTCAGGTGTATGACACGTCTGTATAATATTATATCTCAATACTTAATTACTCGCGTCTTCATTTGGATTTCCATTCTCTCATTGTTCTCTCTAAAGTGTCGAAGATAGAGTTTTAAAAACAAATTTTTGAATAGTCCGCTATATAACTAGTTTTTGTAATATCTAATCGAATGTCTAATTTGAAATGTTTATCATCTGTTGTATCTTATCCACACGATCGTTATTCTAATTTTTTCCTTGTTCAACACCATTTTTACTAGAGTTTAGAAAATATACCACTTTTACTGGGCGAGAGAAAATATAACACTACTTTTGTGCCCTAAAACATAAAAACGACCCCCTAGCATATATAGTTTTTTATTTGGAATTCCTTTTTTATGACCCAATTTGAAGAAATCTTAAAAGCAACAACTTTTAGTTTATCAGGGTTTCCACAGGTCAGGGAGAATTTAGGAAAAGTAAAATTGGTCAGGGAAATCAGGGAAAAGTCAGGGAAACACAAAATTAATTTTTTGTGGCAACCTTGTTTTTGTTAAATTTATTTGCTTTCAAGGTCCTTTCTTCAGATCGCGACACAATTTTTTATTTAGTTGAAATTCATATTTATAATAATTATAATGCGTATATAGTTGTGAAAAGAAGCATCAGGTGCATATTTCGGACTCTAGGTGTGCAATTACAGTGTCTTCTTTGTAACTGTTCTTCTTCTTTTTTTTGGAGAGAAACCGTCATTATGTGTATATATATACAAAACTGATGCAAACAGTCCATATACATATGTGCGAGCTTCATGTCTCGGAACGAAATTGCTTTATCTCGGACGTGAAAAAAAATTCAAAATTGAATTAAACTCTGCATTTCGATGTCGATATGTGTACATAAAACGGAAGCAATGTGCATTATAATTTCAGAGGTAAAAAGAGAGAAAACTAACGGAAGAGAGCAATTTATGTATATTAGTGCGAAAGAGATTCGGAGAATGTTTGATGTAATTTTTAATCGACCTTGCTAAAAACCTTGGGTTTTCTTCAGTCAATACAATTCTATGGACTAATTCCACAAACCACAATTAAAAGTTAATCAAATGATTAAAGTCAGTTTAACGACTTATTATTAGTTGATTGAGGATTTAATCATTGATTAACTTTTAATCGAAATTCGTGAAACTGTCCCTAAGGGACCAGTTTCACCAACTCCGATTAAAAGTTAATCAATGATTAAAGTCAATTTAAACCGTTCATGACGATTGGCAGGTTAAGGTTAATCATTGATCAACTTTTAATCGGTTTTGGTGAAACTGGCCCTTAAATCATTGATTAACTTCTAATCGGTGTTGGTGAAACAGTCTCTATTGTTGGAAAAATTTGATTCATATCTGAATCGAACCGTTTACTTGCAAAAAATTTGTAGCATTTTTGATGCCAGTTTGATTGCGGATAAAGTTTTTCTATCAGTATAATCGTTACATCCTCCGCTTTCATTATTATTCCGCAATAAATGAACATTTATTGCAAACCCCATCGATTTTGCATTTTCTCATGCGCATATTTTTCTCGACTGCGCTTAAATATGCGTAACAAATACTCTAATTAGATGGTATCAACGTAACACGTGCAATCTATTAAGCGACTGTGAAAAATATAATCAGACGAAAAATTGATAATTCGCGGGGTTGAAATTGTAACCTTATTTCGCAAGATATACGAACAGCCATACAGTAGACTAATGATAATATTACGCGTCATATTAATAGACCTCCATGTCCTTGATGAATTTTCCTTTTACGGAAAGAGTAAAAGGTGAATGATAAACCGTGAATGATAATGGAGAATTCAGTAATGCATCTATTATGCAAAGTGAATGCGTATCACAAGAAGAGGCGAGAGCTACCGATTTTCCATAAAAGTGCCGCTGCTGCTGCTGCTGCTCCGCACAGTCTATAATCCAACCGGATATAAAATAGTGAAACCGTAATATCCGGTTAATGGAAGAGAAATAATGACAAAATCACCGGGACTAATTCAAAGAGGTGAATTGGTAGGGAGTTTAGTTTCTTGTATATAGATAAGCTATGGAACCATCACTGAAGAGTTCGACACACGGGTTGCAGGCTTGCCGCAGGGATCGCGGGACGTTCGAGGCCTAAGGTTTCTCACGCGATCCTCTTTACCGGTCTTCGGCACGTCACGAAAGGCATTTAAGCCTCATCCACCAGTCGTCCACTTCCGAGGACGCGATCCGCTTCTCGCATCAGGGACCTTCGTTTCAATTTTTAGACTTTAGGTCGCCAGCGGCTTTTGTCGACCTTCCGCTCTGCGCGCACAATTGTCAGAAAGAAAGGAGAAAAGAGTATACACTATAAAATCATGCAATAAAATATATTGCATTCTGTATGTTGGAATTCCGCATCGCATCGCATCGACAGAGTATAGAAGAAAGAGAAAGAGGTTATTCCCTTGCTCTGCTGTCCCCCCACTATTTTATATATATATATAAACCTTCGAGGCTGACATAGGGCGTTAGGTAAGTGGTAGATAATAATAGGTTACACCCGCTGATGAGCGAAGGTAGTCCATCGAATGGATTTGCCGACGATCGCTCTTGTCTTTCGCACGCATATCCCTTTTGATGTAATGCAGAACGGAAAAAATTGGAAGCACGAAGACAGTTCATCAGAAATGAATTGCCGGAAAATTGACCTTTTAGAGATAATTTTCCCCGCCGAAGGGCAAAGGAAATTGCCTTACCTCGCGTGTAGAAACGAGTCTTGTCTTCAGGATACAAATTTCCCTCCTCCGAAAGAAAAAGGAGCAAATGGTTCAAATCCGAAAAGGAGCAACAGGAACAAAATGGATAAAATCCAAAAGAAAGTAATGGATGAAATCCGAAAAGAGAAGATTTTTTGGAGAATGGAGGAGAAAAATATTCAAGTATCATTTGTGCTTGAGGTGCATATGTATGAAGGAGAAGAGGGCGAGAAGAGGGCGCGAAGAGGACGAGAAGAGGATGAAGAAAAATACAAGAGGATTTAGCGCTCATGAAGAAGTAGAAGAAAAAGGGGGGAGAAAGATGAGAGTGGTACTGGGAGGAAGTGAGATGATGGCACAACACGAGAGAGAAAGAGTGTAACAGCGAAGAAATTAATAGCCATAAAATATGAATAGAAATTAGCAGGTTCGGGGTGGCGTGACGCGTTTGCTCGCTCATTTCCTTTCGGCGCGTTGAAAAACAACAAAACAACAAAATACGGTTCAAGCCTGTAATTTACCCGGCTGCCGCCAACCGCGCTGCACATGCGTTTACAAAAGTGTGCGTGAGTTCGCAGTTACCATCGATACCGCATGGACTTTGGAAGGGTGTGAAAGGTATCGATGCACAGAGTGTGTACGAAGGTGGAAATTATCAGGATGAAGAAAGAAAGAGAGAGAGAGAGTGAGAGAAAGAGAGTGTGTTGGTAAGGCCGCGCGTGTTGGGGCCTATTGCTCATGGGTCGGCCCATCATCATCGTCGTCGCACGGTAGGTATGGTCGGTAATGATCCGGTAATGACTCTGACGCCTTCTCGTCTCTCTCTCTCTTTCTTTCTTTCTTTCTCGAAAGCTGATGCGTAGGTTGTGCAGGCAGGCGCGAGAATATTGAAGCCTCCGATTCTTCTTCCCCCCTTCTTTCAACTCCTCCTCATACCGCGTGTTCTGTTCTTCTTACTTCCACCCTTTCTCACATCTATCCGCGCCAATGCTGCTGTCCCACCTTTAAAAGCTTCTTCCTTGCCTGGCCTTTGTTTTTGCGTTTTAAACGG